CTATTGATGTTACGGACATGGAAACAAGTAATTTAACTTATTAATCATTTGTTAGTTCCTGGCAGAGAACGTGTTATGAGATCATTGCTCTCAACCTTCTATGGAACAGATCTATGCCAGGCTACTTATTGCTTATTCTTTAAATCTCTTGCTGCTGCGGCACAGGCGATAGGCTTTGGAGGACCAATTCCTTCTCTTGGTGTATTTTCACATAAACGAACTATGATTCAACTTGTATTATGTCTCCTGGACCATTTAAATCTCAGAGCAAACACAAATGAGTTTGTAACGAAAGTAATCATCTAAATTTTTTAATGAATTTTAGTTTTTGATTAATATCAAGCATACTGCTACTGAGTTTGAAGCAATTATGAATCGTATATCTGAGTTGGAACGCATATTTGAAAAAAAAGATGCTTCACGATCAAAGTTAAAGGACGAATTAGCAATGCTCTATCGTGAGTTGGAGGTCCAGAAGCAAAAAATGGAACAAGTTGAGACATTGTATAAGCAGGCAGAAGATGAACTTCTTGCAACGGAATCCAGAAGTGCATCATTGTCCGAAAAGGCAAGCATCATTTTCACTTCTTCTGCAATGAAGTTTGCAGACTAGCTTATCTGTGCTTTTTTAGCTTGCAGGATTGACATCCGAAGTAGAGTCTTTAACTACTGTTCTCCATCAGGCCAGTCAACGCGTCTCAAAAAGCCCAGAGAAACTTCCAAAAGCAATTTCCCAGGCAAAGGATGAATTACAAAAACTTGAGTCCTCCATAAAGACCCTTTACGAACAGCAAGCAAAGCACAATCAGCGGTTGAAAGATTTAGATACAATCGAAGCCACAGTCGAAAATAAACTCAAGGCCTTAATCGCAAGAGCATATGAACTTTGTGATAGACACACTTCTCTCTTGTCTTCAATACAGGTTTCGCTTTTATTTATTTTTGCTTGTGTACTTGTATTTGTATATTAACCATTCTGTCTTCCTTAGGAGCTTCGTGAAAATAACACTCAAACATCGGTGCGCGTGAGCCAGTCCAAACAAGAAAAAATTTCCCTGTATTCTAAACTGAAAAATCTTGAAGCCGAGAACATTCGCTTGCAGCTACTCCTAAGCTCAAAGAAACGCGTAAGTTTGTAATCAATTCTAATATCCTATTGTAGGCGCACAGCGACGCTTCTACAGAGGCTGAGAAAAAGCTAGAAACTTTGAAGGACAAAATTGTACGACTAGAGCTTTATATTGACACCGCTACATCATCACTTAAGGAAACAGAACTTCGTCTTGAGGAGCAAAGAAACAGGTATTCAGAGGTAAGTTGTCATGATTCGTCTCTGGCTGAATAAAAAATCTTCATTTTTTTGTAGCATTTTGCTTTCAGCACCATAATCAATAAATTGGCATATCTTTCACATCGTTCTCGGACATATTTATCACATCACTTATGCAATCCTTATTTTAAATATACTTACCCGCATGCACTTATTTGTATTTGTATCGTCTAATTTGGATCAGTACACTTTTGTATATATCTGTGCATATATATTTATGTATATAATTCGTTTACATCTGACGTTTTCTCTTTAGCTTTCATCGCAGTTGTCGAAATGTGATGATATCGCTCCTCTTCTCACTGATGTTCTCGATGGATATGTTTACCAAGACAGTTAAACTGCAAGCACGCTATTAATTTTGTTTCTCAAAATGCTAGATAGTTTTGAGTGCTTTTACTTACTGATAATCCTGTATTTATTGTCTAATTGCCGTCAACCCTTCTCAGGTCATGTTAAATCGGAATTTCACCTCTCATTTGACTACTTAATCTATCCTTTTTGATGTTGAAAATGTCTTCAATGGCGCTGTAGACTGGTCAATTTTTATTATTTCTAATTTTTCCTCATTTTCTTCAGTTTTGACTTTGTTTTTAACTATATTTGTCTTTTTCAACGTTAAGGAACTACATTTGGAATAAATACTGAATTGGTGACAAATTTAATAGGGGATGATAACTTTGATTGGGAAATAAAGTCCTACTTTTGGGTGGTCTTTCCCTAACTCAG